GAGAGTCGCTTCGCGTGGAAAGTCGTGCACCCCTTGGCAGAAAGCCCCTGCTTGAGAGCGCGCGACTCTCACCTTCGACTTTCACTCCTTCTTCCCCCTGAAATATAATATTTTTAAAGTGAAATATAAGCAAAATGTTATTTATGTGTTGAATAAATATTATGTGAAACGAGAATGATCTCATATGTATTTTGTGTTCCAAAATTCTGTGTATACAAATTGTTTTACGAACTTTTTAACGAATAGCGAGCGACGGAAAAGATCAGTGACCTTGATCTTCTTGAGGGTCAAGGTCAAGGTCACTCGGAAGTCATTTGGGGCTGACTGTGTAAAAGTGAACATTTACCCTTTTTTTTGCAGCGTATGAAAATATGTGTATAAATAATATAAATCCCATTAAAAATAATGCATTAAGATTTCTCAAAAACTATGGTAGATACGGAAAAATGTTTCAAACAAAAGTTGTAATAGTTCGGAGGGGAACATAGAAAGGTACCATTGATTTAACTTTGGATGGCATCACCAAGGTCAGGTCAAGGCCAATTGATTTTTTTGAATGGAATACCTTATTTTTGATGCCAGAATCTAATAGCTGGTATCAAGAGCTTCCCAAAACACTATAATAAAGTTATTTTTCATTAAGTACTTTTCGAGTTATAAGGCTTGAAAGTTACAGTATCGCCGGCATTAGACAAATTATTTTTAATTTGTCTATTGCATTAGAATCCATTTCTTCTTTATATTATTAATATTTAATATTATATTAATTATTTATTTAGCGAAATAAAATAAGTCGTATGAACTATAATATATGTTGTGTAATACTAATTAAGCAACAATTGCTACATTTTAACTCATAATGCACAAAGGTAATTAATCATCACCGATCGAAGAACACCATGGTTACTTTCTACTAACAAATGAAATTAGTGTTTCAAGACGATAACAACTTACAGTTATTAACTGAAACGCTCGGAGTGTAGATCCAAGAAAAGTCTATGTTAGATTATGTAATATATATTCAGAAAGAAACCCTCTATCGCAATAATACTAATACTATAATATAAAAATTAATCATTTCGTGTGCAGCATAGTATATAATGTAGGTGCTGTATATTTGTATATTCTTGCCAATAATGCTCAATTTATCAACAAAATTCCAAGGATGCAACAAGTGTAAAAAGTGGAAAAAATGGCAACTGTTCCATGCTACGGATTTTCAATCGTTGATGTATCCCTGCTTCATCTTCTGCAATATTCTTGGAATATTCCCATATAAAATCAACGGTTCGACCTTCGAAACTTCTAAACAGCGTTACATATTACCAACTGTCGTCCTTTGTATTCTCTGCATTTACGAGCTAGAAGTGCTTTATGAGATTGACATTGCTAGAACAATCAAATTTAAAGGAGTACCTAAGACACTTGAGCGTAACTGTTTTTATATACTCGGTAACTTTATCGCGGTCATTACATACATTTTAAGCGGTCGTCGAATGCACTTGCTTCAGACCATAATGAATATCTCTTCAAAACTGCCTACCAATTCATATCAAAAGCTGTCTAGATTGATTCATGCTAAGGACATCTTCGGTTTCATCTATTTAATCGGACTAACGATGTTCTATTGTTATACATTGGATTTCGATAATTGGCATAGAGTGTTTGTACCGTATCTTAATCTACTAGTGTTTCAGATGGATATGCTGTATATGAATTGTGTTTGTGTATTAAAAGCTTGTTTCAAAAGAATTGACGATAATTTGATAAATCTGCAAAAGCATGTGATAAACGATGAGCCATATCTTCCGAAGCGAATCTATTACGAGCGTAGAAATCCACTTCTGTTAATGAAACTCAATGTTTTGAAGAAACAGCATCTGGTGATCAGCGATACAGTGCAAATGCTAAACATGATTTTTTGTCTGCAACTCCTTGCTACTACAGTTATGACTTTTGCCGAACTCACTTTCAATATGTATTTTTATATAGTGCATTGGAGAAGTGGCACGTTAACGAACCATCTGGACAACGAAATTTATGATATATATTTGTTAGTGATTATGATATATTATTCTATAAAAATAGGGTTGATTGTATGGGCCTGTGAGACCGGTAAAAATCAGGCTATGAACATTGGTACCACCGTTCATGATCTACTTAATTATATTTCAGATGCGCAAATAAAAAACGAGGTAATTTATTAAAAAAGTATCTTTAATTAAAAGAAATTTTGCAGAGTTAATAACGGTAATCCCGTGTTTAACTTTAATTTCACATGTTACAGTTGCAGCTGTTTTCCTTGCAAATAATGCACCGCAGAAATGCATTCTCCGCGAAGAGTTTTGTTATGGATGCTACTCTTCTCACTGCAGTAAGTGAACGATTAATTGCTTCTTAATTCAATACGTATTGCTTACTTTCGTAATTCTGATTTTAGATAGTGGGTAACGTAACTACGTACGTACTAATTTTATTACAATTCTTGTTTACAACGCCACTTTGCAACGGAGGGCTAGCAATTAATGGTACACAAATAGCTTTCTAAAAAAGATATTAATTAATAGCGAAAAATATATTATTAAATAGTAGAAATACTTTTTTTAGTATCATAAAAATACATGCATAAATATATGTATGTACAGATAAATCGTTATATCATGTATAAACAATTTCAATTAATATATGTAACTATAGTTCCTTTTGCTTACATATGCTTTAAAACATATAATAAATATATTTGTGAAAGATATCGTTTTGAACTTATTAAATATTTTAACCAAAAACCATATTAATGTTAGTATCAGTAAGCTAATACAATTTTGAAAGGTAAATGTTCCAGTAGCCGGACGTTTAAGCATTAGGTTCTCATAAATAATACAATTTATAAAATCAAAAAGGTTTTTAATATAAATATTTGTATTCATTTGAAAACTCAAGACTCCCTTAAGCAAGGAAAAATTATTTGAACCCACTTATAACAATTATTAATTACAATATTTAAATAAATAATAGAATGCGTCAATGTACCAGTGGCCGGACAAGCCGGTCGGACACTGAAACGTAATTGTCCCAGTGTCCGACCACAATTGGAAAATTAATATGCTGACAGAAAATAATAATATAAATAGATGTTTAATGACAAAAGACAACTGATTCAAATTGATTTTTAAGGTAAAAAAAGCATTTGAGATTAATATTAATATAAATAAATAAAGTTTTGTGTAACTCCGAACATAGGTACTGTCCGATCCCAGTGACTGGACATAAGCTACATTTACACCGCATATAGGCCGCGGCCTATACAATAGATGTCCTTGTTTATCCTGTAGGTTAAACAAAGACATCTATCGTATAGATCGCGGACTAAACGCACGGTGTAAACGTAGCCATATACCTATATCCAGACATAACCTATATCCTTTTACATAACACTTTATTTATTTAAGCTAATATTAGTCTCAAATACGCTTTTTAAAACGTAATATTATAATTTGATTGTAATCTTTAAATGCAATTAAATTATAATACTGTAATAAAAAAAGCATTTGAGATTAATAATAATAAATTTTGTGTAAGTGTCCGGACATGTCCAGACACTGGGACGTTTACCTTACTTCTAATATGTAAGAAAGCGTTTAATTAACATTTCTTCTCAAAATATCCATGTATCATTTTGCAATAACTCAAGGTGTAATATAAAAATATAAATGAAAAGGGGGGAAATTAAGCATTTGTTTTATCAATATCATAAATGATTAGTGAAAATATAGCGATGAACAATTTAAAATAAAGCCTCATTGTTGTACACTGTGTGAATTGGACGTAACACATGTATAATTCTTAAGAATTTTATTCGTCGTCATTACAGATAATTTATTTGTTTTAGTCAACAATTAATATCAAAATTTTATCTGTTTTTGGTATTTTGATATTATTGTATCATAAGAAGTATTATTAAAATATTATTTATACTTAAGTTTTAAAAACTTAAATGTATATTTTGCATTTTAAATTAACATGGGGTTAGCGCCATTCAGACGTTTAACGTATACCATTTCGTTTTTACAAAGAAATAATTTTTTTTAATATATCATATAAACGAGATGTTATAATGCTGTTTAAAGTAAGCAATAATAAAAAATAAGCAATAATAAAAAATAAGCAATAGTAAAAAATAAATATTTTGAATATCTTTAAGCATTACATATACAAATCACACATACCCAAACACACACACACACACACACACACTCTTAACATATACACACAATCTTAAGATTGCGGTATAGAAATATTAAAAACCCTATATATGTGTTCAATAAAAATCTAATATTTAAAATTGGAGAGTAACAATGCTTAACTACATGCTATATATAAATGATCAGTAACATCTTAGAAACAATTAAAGACACTTTCATAATATTACTGATTCTATACTCTCTAAAATCTTTGGTGTAGAATCTAACTCTGGAGAGTGAAATCTTACTTTCTTAAAAATTAACAATTAAGCTAATCTTTTCCAATACTGACTCAACTGTCACTCTTTATCACTCTTTAGAATTAGATTCCACTTTAAAGGCTGTAGAGAGTAGGTATAGCGTAGTCAATATTCCCTATTTGACACATACATATACGATTGTGATAAATTATATAAGTAATAGCAATTACGCTTGTGTGTTTCGTCATACTCTGTGTAACAATTATACAGTATACCGATCGAAGAACACCATGGTTACTTTACGACTAACAATTCCGAATTGTTTCGATACAGCAACCGCTTGCAGTTTTTAACTAAAGCTCGCCGGGTGTAGTTTGTTGAAGAGCCTACATGTAGTTATAAACAAAGGGAAGACTATATTCAGAAATATCTATCGCAGTAAAACTCACATTTATGCTAAAGTATAAACGAATAATTTTTTGGCAATCTTGATATAAATTGTTGTACACCGGTAATAATTAACATGTCATTGAAACTTTAAAGAGGTGCCAAGTACAAAATGTGGAAGAAATGGCAACTGTTCCATGCTACGGACTTTCAATCGCTGATGTATCCCTGCTTCATCTTCAGTAGTATTCTTGGAATATTTCCGTACAAAATCAATGGTTCAACTTTCGAGACTTCTAAACTACGATACATTCTAACAATCTTCATTCTTAGTGTTTTGAGTATTTATGTGTTAGTAGTGCTCTATGAAATTAACATCGCTGGAACTATCTATGTCGGAAATGTACCTAAGGCTCTTGAGCGCAGCTGCTTATACATATGCGCTAATTTTATGATGGTCATCGCATACATTTTGAGTGGCTCTCGAATGCACTTGCTCCAAACCATAATGAATGTCTCTTCAAAATTGCCCTTTAATTCGTATGAAAAACTATCTAAGCTGATCCACGCCAAGGATATCTTAGGTTTCTTCCTTCGAGTCATAATAGAAGTGATTTATTATTCCAAATTTGACTTTAGCTGGTACAATATGCCTTTACCGTACATTCATCTGATGGCATTTCAAATGGATATGTTGTATATGAATTGTGTTTGTATATTGAAGGCCTGTTTTAAAAGGATCGATGACGATCTAGTAAATTTACGAGAACTCGTCATGAACGATGAGCCGCATCTCATGAGACGAATCCATCATGAGAATAAAAATCCATTCGTATTAATTGAGCTCAAGGCTTTGAAGAAACAGCATTTAGCAATTAGCGATACGGTGCAGATGCTAAACATGAATTTCAGTCTGCACATCCTCACTACTGTAATTATGACTTTTTCTCAGCTTACTTTCCATCTATACTACTATATAACGTATTGGGAAATCAGTATGTTTGAGAACAGCACGTTTGATTTATTTTATTATATATTTACGATGGTGCATACCATAATTCATTGTATAAAAATAACAATGGTAGTATGGGCCTGTGAAACCGGTAAAGACTGGGCCATGAAAATTGGAATTACTGTTCACGATCTGCTTAATAATATCTCAGATAAACATATTACAGAAGAGGTAATTAAAAAAATAAGATTTTATTTTCATGTTTGCCTGAAGACATTTCGTTTATTGATGTTACTTTTTTATATTTATATAATATCTAATAGATCAATTATAGTTTTAGAGTCCTGTAATTAATGTACTATAATTTTACGTTTTGCAGTTGCAGCTATTTTCCGTGCAAATATTGCATCGTGGAAATGTATTCTTTGCGAAAGGTTTCAATGTGGATGTTGCTCTTCTTATTGCGGTAAATGAACAATTATTTATTTTTTAATTAATTCAATATGTATTATTTATTCTTAAATCTGATTGTAGATAGTGAGTAACGTAGCTACATATCTGTTAATCTTAATACAATTTTTTATTACTACGCGTTTATGCAACCTAATGGCAGCAAATAATGGTACACAAATTATTTAATTAATGGATTAGGAAGTATGTAATTAACAACAGAAAGAGATTATTAAATAGTTAAGGCTTTCACTTTTATAACATAAGACTATGTTCACGTATATATGTATATACAGATAAAACATATGATGCATTTATAACATTATATGGTGTATTTTAGAAATAAGTCTTTAATATTTTACACTTTCGCTTATGTATTCTTTTAGTATAATAATAATAATAAAATAGTATAATGATAAAATAGTATAATAATAATAAAAAAATGAATGTAAAAAATATTGTTTTATTTTTGTTAATTGATTTAATAACTATTTCGTTATGAGCTAGTATAATTTTAAATTTATTTTTAACATATAAAAAATATTCAATTACTGGGTACATCAGATCCTCAAAGTATTATTAGTCATTCTGCGATAACTTAAAATTTAATATGCGAATAAATATAAAAATAAAAAGTTATTGTATTTATTCGATGCTGTACTGACAACGGTTGTAGAAATTTAGCTATAGACAATTTGAAATAAAATGTTTATGTCAATATTATAAGTTATATGCTATGACACATATAATTTTTAAGAATTTCTTCATTATTATTAAAAAAGTATGTTTCTTATTACTAGCAGTTGATGCAAAATTTTTTTTTATCTTTTTCTGTTATTTTTTTATTATTAAATCATGAATATTAGAAGTCACCGCTTATTTAATAATGTATTTTGCGTTTTAAAATAACATTGGCTTAACGCTCTATTAAGACAATTCAAAGTGTATCTTCTACTTCTTTTACATAAACAAGGAAGAATAACGTTTTTAATATCTCTATAAACAACAGAAATTTATAACAAGTTAAAATATTTACAATAAGAAAATAGTTTCAAACAATCGTTTTGAGCTATGTAATTTTGTGATAGTAGATAAGTGATATTTTCTATTTATACACATGCACATATAATTATATTTTCATGCCTCGGCGAAAACATTTATTTTTAATTTGTCCACTACATTACAATACATCCTTTTTTATTATTATTTTATATTCCTGTTATTAACATTTAATATTTTTAGAGTTATTTATTTAGCATAAAGTAATAAATTTCACTATAACAAATGGAAAAAAATTTAATTGTAACGAATACTTTATGTAATACCAATTAAGCAAAATTTATTACATTTTAATTTATAATACACAATACTAAAGGTAATAATTACCGATCGAACAGCATCATGGTTACTTTCTATTAACAAATAGCACTAGTATTTCAAGATAGCAATAACTGTGCAGCTATTAACTGAAATTCTCTGAGTATAAATCAATGAAAAAAAGTCTATATTTATGCACTTGTTAGAATTCAATGGCTATATATTCAGAAAGAAATTCTCGCGCTAAATATACAACAATATACAAAATATAAAAAATTTGCAATAATACTATAATATAAAATATAATCATTTTAAGCAGTATATGATGTAGCTTATAATGCAAGTTATTGCATTATTATTTTACATTATTCATATTTTACTGATGTTCAGTTTGTCAACAAAATTATACGAAGCTACGAAGTGTAAAAAGTGGGAAAAATAGCAGCTGCTCCGTGCTACGGACTTTCAATCGCTGATCCTGTTTTACCTTTTGCAACATTATTGGAATATTCCCGTACAAAATCAACGGTTCGACTTTCGAAACTTTCAAACAGCGTTACGTATTATCAACTGTTGTTGTTTGTATTTTCTGCATTTACGAACGAAAAATGCTTTATGAAATTGACATTGCTGAAACAATCAAATTAAATAACAAAGATATTCTCTTTTTTAACGCCATAAAAATACGTGCATAAATATATATATATATATGTACAGACAAATCGTTGTATCATGTATAAACAATATTCAATTAATGTATGAAACTATATTTTCTTTTGATTTCATATGCTTTAAAGCATAATAAATACATTTGTGAAAGTTATCGTTTTGAGCTTATTAAATATCCTAACTAAAACATATAAATGTTAGTATCAATAAGCTAATAATTTTGAAATTACTTCTAATATCTAAGAAAACATTTAATTAACATTTCAGTTTTCATCTCAAAATGTCCATGCATTGTTTTGCAATAACTCAAGGTTTAATAATATAAAAATACAAATAAATAGGAATTAAGCATTTATTTTATCGATGCTATAAGTGATTATTGGAAATATAACGATGAACAATTTAAAATAAAACCTCAATGTTGTACACTATGTGAATTGGACGTAACACATGTAATCCTTAAGAATTTTATTCGTCGTCATTACAGATAATTTATTTGTTTTAGTCAACAATTAATATCAAAATTTTATCTGTTTTTGGTATTTTGATATTGTTGTATCATAAGAAGTATTATTACAATATTATTTATACTAAAGTTTTAAAAACTTAAATGTATATTTTGCATTTTAAATTAACATGGGGTTAGCGCCATTCAGACGTTTAATATATACCATTTCGTTATTACAAAGAAATAGTTGTTTTTTTAATATATCATATAAACGAGATGTTATAATGCTGTTTAAAGTAAGCAATAATAAAAAATAAGCAATGTGTAAAAAATAAATATTTTGAATATCTTTAAGCATTACATATACAAATCACCCATACCCAAACACACACACACATACACACAATCTTAACATTGCGGTATAGAAATAACACCCTATATATGTGTTCAATAAAAATCTAATATTTAAAATTGGAGAGTAACAATGCTTAACAACATGCTATATATAAATGATCAGTAACATCTTAGAAACAATTAAAGACACTTTCATAATATTACTGATCCTGTACTCTCTAAAATCTTTGGAGTAGAATCTAACTTTGGAGAGTGAAATCTTACTCTCTTAAAAATTAACAATTAAGCCAATCTTTTCCAATACTGACTCAACTGTCACTCTTTATCACTCTTTAGAATTAGATTCCACTTTAAAGGTTGTAGAGAGTATAACGTAGTCAATATTCCCTATTTGACACATACATATACGATTGTGATAAATTATATAAGTAATAGCAATTACGGTTGTGTGTTTCATCATACTCTGTATAACAATTATACAGTATACCGATCGAAGAGCTCCATGGTTACTTTACGACTAACAACTCCGAATTGTTTCGATACAGCAACCGCTTGCAGTTTTTAACTAAAGCTCGCCGGGTGTAGTTTGTTGAAGAGCCTACATGTAGTTATAAACAAAGGGAAGACTATATTCAGAAATATCTATCGCAGTAAAACTCACATTTATGCTAAAGTATAAACGAATAATAATTCTTTGGCAGTGTAATCTGGATTGATATAAATTATTGTACACCGGTAATAATTAACATGTCATTGAAACTTTAAAGAGGCGCCAAGTACAATATGTGGAAGAAATGGCAACTGTTTCATGCTACGGACTTTCAATCGCTGATGTATCCCTGCTTTATCTTCAGCAGTATTCTTGGAACATTTCCGTACAAAATCAATGGTTCAATTTTCGAGACTTCTAAACAGCGTAACACTCTAGCAATCTTTATTCTTAGTGTTTTCAGTATTTACGTGCTAGTAGTGCTCTATGAGATTAACGCTGCTGGAACAATTTATGTCGGAAATATACCTAAGGCTCTTGAACGCAACTGCTTATACATATGCGCTAATTTTATGGCGGTCGTCGCATACATGTTGAGTGACTCTCGAATGCACTTGCTCCAAATCATAATGAATGTTTCTTCAAAACTGCCCCTCAATTCGTATGAAAAATTATCTAAGGTGATCCATGCAAAGGACATCTTGGGTTTCTTCCTTCTAATCATAATAGAAGTGTTTTATTGTTCTAAATTGGATTTTACCTGGTACAAAGTGCCTGTACCGTACATTCATCTAATGGAATTTCAAATGGATATGTTGTATATGAATTGTGTTTGTATATTGAAGGCCTGTTTTAAAATGATCGATGACAATTTAATAAATTTGCGGGAACTCATTATCAATGATGAGCCGCATCTCTTGAGGCGGATCTATCACGAGCAAAAAAATTCATTCCTGTTAATGGAGCTCAAGGCTTTGAAGAAGCAGCATCTAGCAATTAGCGATACAGTGCAAATGCTAAACACAATTTTCAGTCTGCACATCCTCGCTACTATAATTATGACTTTTTCTCAGCTCACTTTCCATCTATACTTTTATATAACGAATTGGAATATTAGCATGTTTGAGGACAGCACGATTGATTTATTTTATCATATATTTACGATGGTGCATACCATAATTTATTGTATAAAAATAGTATTGATAGTATGGGCCTGTGAGACCGGTAAAGACAGGGCTATGAAGATTGGAATTACCGTTCACGATCTGCTTAACAATATCTCAGATAAACAGATTACAGAGGAGGTAATTGAAAACATAAAATTTTATTTTTATGTTTGTCTCATGACATTTCGCTTATTAATATAACTTTTTTATATTTATATAAAATCTAACAAATCTTTATTGGTTTTAGAGTCTTGTAATTAAGTATACTCTCACGTTTTGCAGTTGCAGCTATTTTCCGTGCAAATATTGCATCGCGAAAATGCATTCTCTGCGAAAGGTCTCCTTGTGGATGTTACTCTTCTTATTGCGGTAAATGAATAATTATTTGCTTTTTAATTAATTCGATATGTATTATTTATTTTTAAATCTGATTTTAGATAGTGAGTAACGTAGCTACATATCTATTAATCTTAGTACAATTTTTGATTACTGCGCGTTTATGCAACGCAACGGCAGCAAATAATAGTACACAAATAATTTAATGAAAAAGATATAATTAACAATAGAGAGAGAGAGAGAGAGAGAGAGAGAGAGAGAGAACGAGATTATTAAATAGTTAAGCCTTTCTCTTTTATAACATAAGAATATGTACATATATATATATATATATACAGGGTGTTTCCAAATTAAATGGCAAAACTTCGGGAGCGTGTAGAGGAGTAAAAAACTAAGAAAAAAAGTCCTATAGACATATGCTCGTTTTTGCTCCGTTTCAGAGAAATCGAAAAAAAATGTTTACATTTCTTGCCATATCTAGCACCGACATATTTGATTACATTTTCCACTTTCTGTTATGAATTTGTCAGTCGCTCTTTGAAAGCCTTTAACAGTAGATGAATTTTGTCTTTTGCAATATGCCGCGTACGTATTCTAATAGTGAATATGCTGATATGGTTTTTGTATACGGTTTCTGCAACGGTAATGCTTTAAAGGCGGTGCGAGAATATGCACGACGATTTCCAAACAGAAGAGTGCCAAACCGAAGAGTGTTTATGTTGACATTTAATAGATTGCGAGAGACTGGATCATTTTCAATTCGACAAGAAAACAACCGATTTCAAGCAGCGTTACGAAGAGATTTGCAGGCAGGGAATCGTATTTTACAACATTTTGACAATCATCCTGAGACCAGCGTTCGGAATGCGTCGGCTGTATTGGGAGTGTCACCACAAACAATTTGGCGAACTGTAAAAGGAGATAATCGCTATCCCTACCACATTCAAAAAGTGCAAAATTTATTACCTCAAGATCATTGGAACAGATTGAACTTTTGTAACTGGTACCTTCAGACATGCCACAATGATATTTTATTTCCATCTAAAATAATGTGGTCAGATGAGGCAACATTTACCAGAGGTGGAATAATTAATCAAAGGAATTAT